AGAGTTTAATAATTAAATGATAATCCTCAATCAGTATCGTGTAATAATTCGTACAATAGAGTATGAAAAACTGATATCGCCTCCTTTCCTATTTAATAATCAACAGTATCCTAAAACACCGTTAGAAAAGGACTATCTGGTTAATTTGTAGCTCCTCATTTAACATGATAGGATTAAGAAACACATTTGTTTCCTGTTATTTGTTTGGTGGAAGAATTTTGTCGACCTTTAAATGGTTCTACGAAGAGAGATATTGGATAGTATTGAGCGAATCGCTGGCCGTCTTAAAGCGAATACATGAGTGATAATAATTTGTTTCCTGAATAGGAAAAATATTAAAGGAAATAACATGAATGGCCTCTAATGTAGTCTGGGAAGGTGGGATGTTTCTCTTCCGCTATTCCGTGAATGCAATCAGTCAAAGCCCACAGAGGGACCTGCTTATCAGGCTGGCGACACAAGCAGACAAGCAATTGTTTGCTAGATTGACATTCTAAGTCGTATTGACATTTCAGGATAGACCATTGAAGGGAAAACATGACAGATCGGACGGACCAAATATCCATCAATTGGACCAAGCGAATCAGTTGAGAACATAATTATGTAATAACTAGATAAGATATCATGTGGTTCGCATATTTTGCTCTCACTCTCCCCCTATTCCCCTATGTTTCCCGCTTTGCTCTCTCTCTCCGTCTCCCACAATCAACACCCTCGTCACCCTACCCTCTCTTCGCTCCTATCATCTCACCTCTCACCCTTCTCTTCCCCTCCTTTCCTCTTCCCCTTCCTACTTCCTCTTCTGCACTCTTCCCTCTCTCAAGTTTTGCCTTCCCCTTCTTCCCCCAATCCGCATTTTTCCCACTCACCTCAAACATCTCCCATTCTCTCTCTCATTCTCTCCTATTTCTTTTCCTTCCATTCTCTCCATCTATGTTTCCTATTCTCTCTTTCTCGATCTGTACCTCAATCTCTCTCTGTCTCAGGAAATGCAATACTGTAATCTAAACAAATTCCAAATTTTCGAGCTAACCATAAAAATCAGGTGCGGGTAAACGGCGAGAGCATGCATATAAGCTACGGAAAACACAATTTCTGATTTACTTCAGAGTTAGTGACAATAGTAAAGGGGGGGGGGTTACTGATGCTTATACTTCTTAAAGCATGGCACTTGGGCCAACCTCGACTGGTCTTTAACTTCTATATCTGTTAGTTTTCAAGATATAAAGATGGTTGAGACTAGCTCCAAGTATCTTGCCTCTAACTTTGGACAACCAGACAAACTGACAGATATTCTATGTTATAGGAATGGATGATTGTTACTTTATCAAGATTTTATTAATATCACAAAATGCATGCATATTTCCTTTTAATATAAGTTCCACACCTACAAAACAAAATGCTTGGATCACACCAACATGCTCAGACCTCACCAACATGCTCAGACCAGACCAACATGGTCAGACCACTCCAACATACTCAGATCACACCAACATACTCCGACCACACCAACATACTCAGACCACACCAACATGGTCAGACCACACCAACATGCTCAGACCACACCAACATGCTCAGACCACACCGCCATGCTCAGACCACACCAACATGTTCAAACCTCACCAACATGCTCAGACCACACCAACATGCTCAGACCACACCAACATGCTGAGACCTCATCAACATGCTGAGACCACACCAACATGCTGAGACCACAGCAACATGCTGAGACCACACCAACATGCTCAGACCACACCAACATGCTGAGACCTCACTAACATGCTGAGACCACAACAACATGCTGAGACCTCACCAACATGCTGACACCACACCAACGTGCTCAGACTACACCAACATGCTCAGACCACACCAACATGCTCAGACCACACCAACATGCTCAGACCTCACCAACATGCTCAGACCACACCAACATGCTCAGACCACACCAACATGCTCAGACCACACCAACATGCTCACACCACACCAACATGCTCACACCACACCAACATGCTCAGACCACACTAACAGGCTCAGACCACACCAACATGCTCAGACCACACTAACATGCTCAGACCACACCAACATGCTTAGACCTCACCAACATGCTGAGACCACACCAACATGCTGAGACCACACCAACATGGTCAGACCACACCAACATGCTCAGACCACACCAACATGATCAGACCACACCAACATGCTCAGACCACACCAACATGCTCAGACCACACCAACATGCTCAGACCACGCTCACTTGAATTTGGCTATTTGAATTATATTTACTGGATGTGAAACGTGCGATATATCAAGCTTTAATGTTTTAAATAACAACAGAGAATTTACATTTAAACAGCAATGGCAAAATCTTTTCCTCTCTCTGATATGGCTACCCATTTTCTAAATTAAAAGTTAACCTTTTAAGAAAATAACTACCAGAAGAAAAGAAGAAGAGAAAATAATCAAAAGAAAAATAGCCAGATAAAAGAATATAAATGGGGGGTCAGATAGGGGACGTAAATAGTGACGAATGAAATAAAAAATGGTGGAGGGAGCAAATATAAAGATTAATTAGGCGTTTTGAACGTGGCTTGTTTAGGCAACCTGTCCTCTTATAAATAACGTCGCTTTAGGCCGTTTGCCCGTATGGCCGTAAGTGGACGTAATTTGAAAATGAAAATAAATTTGAGATTTTTTTTCAACAACATTTAGCTAAGGGTCCTCTAATACGTTAGGTGGGCAGGAAATTCTCATAAAGTTTCAAAATGTTATGAAAAACGTTAATTGTAAGTTTCCTCTCCTAACCTTTCCGAGTAAGCCGGATGACTCAAACAGAAAACGGGACAGAACGTCACTTTCGTGAGCCGATTTCAATTCAAATTACGTCCACTTTGGTCATAACGCGCATACGACCCAAAAGCGATGTTACTTTTAGGAGGACGGGTTGGTTTAGGAACGTCTTATATCTTCTATGATCTTCGCGATCCGGTCTTGCTGTTACTCGCCTGGTGGGTAGAATGAAAAGTTCCGAAATTTGCGTATTTATAATGGGTTGTTCTGTTTGAATGTAGATTGCTTCAAGAATTTAAAATCTTCTTGCATCGTGGGTTTTGTCTATTATACAAAAGTGTTTGTATTCAACATTTCTCTTGTTAGGGGTAATGTCATGGGCTTGTCTCCGTGATTTTTAGGGGCACCTTAACATATATATATATATATATATATATATATATATATATATATATATATATATATATATATATATATATATATATCGTACCTAGTAGCCAGAACGCACTTCTCAGCCTACTATGCAAGGCCCGATTTGCCTAATAAGCCAAGTTTTCCTGAAATAATATATTTTCTAAATTTGTTTTCTTATGAAATGATAAAAGTACCCATTTCATTATGTATGAGGTAAAAAAAAAATTATTGGAGTTAAAATTAACGTAGATATATGACCGAACCTAACCAACCCTACCTAACCTAACCTAACCTATCTTTATTGGTTAGGTTCGGTTAGGTAGCCGAAAAACTATTAATTCATGAAAACTTGGCTTATTAGGCAAATCGGGCCTTGCATAGTAGGCTGAGAAGTGCGTTCTGGCTACTAGGTACGATATATATATATATATATATATATATATATATATATATACATATATATATATATATATATATATATATATATATATATATATATATATATATATATATATATATATATATATATATATATATATATATATGTATATATATATATATGTATATATATACATATATATATATGTATATATATATGTATATATATATATATATATATATGTGTCGTACCTAGTAGCCAGAACGCACTTCTCAGCCTACTATGCAAGGCCCGATTTGCCTAATTAGCCAAGTTTTCATGAATTAATGTTTTTTCGACTACCTAACCTACCTAACCTAACCTAACCTAACTTTTTCTGCTACCTAACCTAACCTAACCTATAAAGATAGGTTAGGTTAGGTTAGGTAGGGTTGGTTAGGTTTGGTCATATATCTACGTTAATTTTAACTCCAATAAAAAAAAATTGACCTCATACATAATGAAATGGGTTGCTTTATCATTTCATAAGAAAAAAATTAGAGAAAATATATTAATTTATGAAAACTTGGCTTATTAGGCAAATCGGGCCTTGCATAGTAGGCTGAGAAGTGCGTTCTGGCTACTAGGTACGACATATGTATATATATATATATATATATATATATATATATATATATATATATATATATATATATATATATATATATATATATATATATATGTACATATATATAAAAATTCGATATGATAATACAAAATAAATCCAAAAATTCCAAGTTTTCGAAGTGACGTTGGAGGCTGTATGTCAGGCCTCGGGCGAGTAAAAAATGTAAATCCTGACGAAGTATCACAAGTGAATGATAGAAAAACGAGGCACAGTGGAGGCGGCTGAGGGAGGGGGTGAGAGGGAGGGGGAGAAAGGGAGGGGGAGAGAGGGAGGGAGAGTGGGAGGGAGTGAATGAGGGAGGTGGAAGAGACGCGGAAGAGAGAAAAAGGCTAACATGGGAGGGATAAGAGGAGCTGATGCATGAAAGAGTGATTTTAAAGAAGAAAATAAAGCACAGAATTTAGAGTTGAGAGTACAAGTGAAGTGGAGAGGACAGACGATCTGCAACGTGTCGTGTTTAACAGAGAACTCAATAATTGAAAAAGGGATTGAGGGAGATGGGAAAGTCGCGACAATGTTGAACGAAGCTGTGTTAGAAGCAGTATTAGGAGAGCGAGGCGTGAGTTGTTAAAGTATAAGGCCTTGCACCAGGAGACAGGTATAAGGCAGGACGCGGACACACAGAGAGAGAGGAAGAGATGAGTAAGAAAGGAAGAATAAGGCAGGTGAAAATGTATGGAGAGAGGATTGAGCAGAGTCACCTGGCTCCAGCTGAGCGCGAGAGGCAGCAGCTGACTCGGAACCAACTGCCACTTAACCGGTGTGATAGTGCCATATCCAGTGCTTCTCTACTGGCAAGATGGTGCCACAGCCAGTGCCACGGAACCGGTAAAATAGTGCTTCATGGCCAGGGCAACTGAACCTGCAAGCAGTGCCATTGTCAGTGCCGCTGAGCTGGTAAGATGGTGATAGAACCAGTGCCACTGAAAATGATGGTGACATAACCAGTGCTACTGAACAATATGGTGCCATAGCCAGTGGAACTGAACAATATGGTGCCATAGCCAGTGCCACTGAACATGATGGTGCCATAGCCAGTGGAACTGAACAATATGGTGCCATAGCCAGTGGAACTGAACAATATGGTGCCATAGCCAGTGCCACTGAACATGATGGTGCCATAGCCAGTGCCACTGAACATAATGGTGACATAGCCAGTGCCACTGAACATGATGGTGCCATAGCCAGTGCCACTGAACATGATGGTGCCATAGCCAGTGCCACTGAACATGATGGTGCCATAGCCAGTGCCACTGAACATGATGGTGCCATAGCCAGTGCCACTGAACATGATGGTGCCATAGCCAGTGCCACTGAAAATGATGGTGCCATAGTATCGGGGGGTGTTAGGGACTTTTACAAAGAACTGGTTATTGAACCAATTAAATACTTGCTTACCGACGGACAGAGACCTACTCCCAGATAAAAATCGGACCGATCACGGCCATCACGCTTCTGCTGCCGTCAGTAGACCAGTAATGGTCACAAAAGTGCTTGCAATTACTTCTTAGATCACGCCGTGACTCCCCCACACTCGTCTTGTTATGGGTACACACTGGACGGGTCCCACACTGAAATCAGCCTGGGCCGGCTGCATGGGGGCTCTGCCCCCTGAATCGCCCACTGACCTCCAGTGAGTGAGGATGCACTGCTCCTCTCTCCTGCATGTCCACGTATCTCTAGATCCTTATATCAGCGTACTGTCTCAATAAATTATCTATTCCACATTCACATACGTTCCCTATGATCGCTGGGCACACGTTCAAGCACCGGCAAACCATATATCCACTGATAAAATGTGCTTATCGCAGAATTCATGACGTTAGAGCGCTCACGTCCTGAATTCGATATTACGATATTCCGAGATTCGGAATTTGATGGTGACCGACACACCGGTCACCATCCGGCGTTCCAAGATGGCGTCACTCTTGGACATCCAACAAAGTCACTTTATGACTGCCTCTCCCAGCATTTCTGTTCCTGACTTGAGCACAGAAAGTCGCCTGGCAGGCTCCACACAGAAATACCTGGTTGCTCTCATCCACTCGAGGACATAACTCTTTAGACCTCCAAAGAGCCACGACGACCACCGTGCTTCAGGCTGTCTCTAATGCTACATAATCACTGAGAAATGACGTACGTCGCGTCCTCGGCAGCTTCCTCACCAGTTATACCCTGCAGCCATCACTCAGACATCTTATCATGAACCGTATTCGTCTATATTCTCTGGACACAGTGATGCACGTCCATTCCTGATGACTGTGGCAACTCAAGTAACGTTACGATGTCCGCCAGCGTCACGTCTCAAAATGTCAAAATATTCTTCCCAATTTCATAAGATGCTCATCCTCTGATTGTACTCTTTTAAGTCACTCACTGACGTTTACTTAATAAATTTCCTCCCTCTCCTCTGGCATCTTAATCTATGGACGAGTGTGCAGAATAACTCTCCCCTGGCAGACTCGTCAGGGTTATAACAATAGTCAGTGTCGCTGAAGAAGATGGTGATATAGCCAATGCCACTGAACAGGATGGAGGCATAGCCAATGCTACACAATCAGGAAAATTTGGCCCTAGCCTGTGCCATAAACCAATTAGATGGTGCCATAGCCAGTGGTGCTCGAGAATGCAAATTAGGTATTTACCCAAATGTATGTTCGCACGAGAGCTTTCAAGACAGCTCTTATTGGAAATGGTACAGCTTTTGAGGGTGAGGCAGATTGTGCAGCTGTCTCAGGTGAGGCAGATGGTGCAGCTGTCTCAGGGGTGGTAGATGGTACAGCTGTCTCAGGGGAGCCAGATGGTGCAGCTGTCTCAGGGAAGGCAGATAGTGCAGCTGTCTCAGGTGAGGCAGATAGTGCAGCTGTCTCAGGGGAGCCAGATGGTGCAGCTGTCTCAGGGAAGGCAGATTGTGCAGCTGTCTCAGGTGAGGCAGATAGTGCAGCTGTCTCAGGGCTGGTAGATGGTACAGCTGTCTCAGGGCTGGTAGATGGTACAGCTGTCTCAGAGGAGCCAGATGGTGCAGCTGTCTCAGGGAAAGCAGATGATGCAGTGTCTCAGGGGAGGCAGATGGCGCAGCTGTCTCAGAGGAGCCAGATGGTGCAGCTGTCTCAGGGAAGGCAGATGGTGCAGCTGTCTCAAGGGAAACAGCTGGAGCAGCTCCCCGAAGGTGACAAACGAGAATGACTCACTATCAACCAAGGACACATGCAATACATCGAAGCAAGAGAGATAACATAAATTAATTAAATGATATAATACAGGGATCAACATCGGCTAAAACGATGCTAATAATGTTGTTTAATGAAGATAATATTTTGCCTTCTTGGAATGTGACGTTATTGCTTTCTTCTACATTTTTCTATAGCTCTGTATTTATGTATTTGTGTGTTTATTCATCTATGCATCCTTATTAATATATATATATATATATATATATATATATATATATATATATATATATATATATGTGTGTGTGTGTGTGTGTGTGTGTGTGTGTGTGTGTGTGTGTGTGTGTGTGTGTGTGTGTGTGTGTGTGTGTGTGTGTGTGTGTGTGTGTGTGTGTGTGTGTGTGTGTGTGTGTGTGTGTGTGTGTGTGTGTGTGTGTGTGTGTGTGTGTGTGTGTGTGTGTGTGTGTGTGTGTGTGTGTTTATAAATCTCGCTCTGTTTATATCAATCTCACTGTCCATCTCTCTATGTGTCTAAATATTTATCTGTCTATATCTCTCTCAGTATATTCCTCTGTCTAAATATATTTCTGTCTATTTGTTTGTCATATTCGTTTCTCATATATCTGATATTTCTGTAAATATCTACCATCTCTTTGTTTATATATGTCAATATCTCCCACATCTCTGTTAATATTTATCTATCTATATACCCTTGTCTATATCTTAGTCTGCATCTTTACCTATATCTCGATCTCTGTCCCTTGCTTTCCTCTCGCCATCTCTTTCTTATGCCGCAGGTGATCTCAGATTCACAACCATGCAGCATCTTCAATTTCCATACAAACTGCTAAAAGTGTTTCGGAAAGTTGTTTGTCGCGACCTCCTGAGATCGGCTGTAAATATTTACGTTTTCTAGTCTGGCGCCAAAAATATGATATATATTCTAATAAGCCAGATATCACAGCTCTCTCCTATGCTGCAAAACATACAACAGAAAAACAAACTCTCTATACCAGCTATATCATTTAACCAAGCTTTCTATACCTGTATGTAATACTTATAAATAGTAGATAATATTTTAAAATTATAATAATTAAATATTATTACAATCATAATTAAAATGGCGGTAAGATCAATTATCCTGAGGTTTAGACATGTAATTCGCTTTGTGGTCGAACTATTGACCCTCTCTAGGATGCAACTCCACAACAGTTGTTTAACTGCTAGGTGAATAGATGCGTCAGGTTAAAAGAAACGGGTTCATCCATTTCTGTGCCAACCGGGAATGGAAACCAGGATCCCTGATGGTGAGTGGGATACGAATCTAACTGTACAATGATAAAAGTATGTGTGTGTGTTTACACTGAATAACAAAAGTAAAAATATTTTGTATGAAATAATTATGTTCAATGCTAATTAGTGTAGCTCTAATTATTAACGATGAAAACAACGATTATGAAAACTTTATAATTTTATAATGATCAATTAGCAAGTTGAATGATCAACACATTAAAGGAGAGGTAGTTGAAGGAACAAAAAAACTTAATTTGAGAATAAATTAAGTTTTTTATACAAAACTTTAAATATTTTTTAAATTACTTATTTCGTTTTTAAATGAAATCAGTTTTTCAAGAAAGACACTTGATATTACTAAAGATATTCATCAAATTTATTTATCTAAATAGAAATGTAAAGGACCCTTAGCCTCGTAGGAAACCACACATAACGCAGGCGATGAGTCACAATAACGTTGCTAAATTATGTTGACCAGACCACACACTAGAAGGTGAAGGGACGACCTTCCCTATATATATATATCTCGACTTGAGAATGGTCCAGGACGGACTGAAACGTAGTTGTCCCTTCACCTTCTTGTGTATGGTCTGGTTAACACACATAACGCATTAGAGGGAATGTTTGAGTCCCCTCCAATACAGTTTCTTTGTGCTTTTCTCTTACCACCCCCTTCCTTATGATTTTTTTTTTGCTTTATTGTGTATACATAAAGGTTGCAAGATGTATATTGGTTGATGCAAAGAGTGTTCAAAGGTTGTGGATCTCCTGAAGCTCATCCGCTTCCGAACAGGAACCGAGGATGCAGCAGGCGTTTCCCCGCTGGATCGACACACTGAGACTTAAAACTGGCAGCTCTTGGGTCTCTGGTGACGTCAATGAGCTTGGAGCGTAAATCTTTGAGAAATCCCAAGGCACTCTTGCCCCCAAGGGCCATGCGTCTAAGGCGCTATGGGAACAAAGGTGTATTGACCTTCCAGTCGCCTGTATTTGAGTGATTTTGCTATGTCACCTGTGGTTGGCCGCCCCACTTGCTTGATCAGCACCGAAGTGTACATAGGTGTCAGCCAGGGTGGATACACATGTGTAGTCCCACACCAACTGTCTACCCTCCTTCCAGGAGTGTATGGTGATGCCATTCGAGTGAAATGCGGGTAAATCTGGATTTTGGTCCCCTAAGTTGCGTGATTCTCTCACCGCAGGGCACTGAGCTGAGGCGAGACTTCTCTTGATGATGTCATTGACCTCGTTGTGTCTTGTATGCCAGCCCTTTGTGCTTCCGCAATGCAACCCATGCAGTCCATATTGGTCTGCTTCCACCCTGTTGCAAATACACTTGTATTCAGTGTGAATTGGAGCACCAAGGCGGAGGGCCACTGCTACACGAAGGGATTCTGGATCTAGACGCGTTCCTATTGCTAACATGGGTACTGCCAGGAGGAAGTCTCCTGCATGGGGGGCTTACACTGCTCTGAGGTGGGCTTTCTCTTTGTCTGATGTTGAGGCGCTGAGCATGGCATCACTCTTTTTTCTACTAGTGGGTGGTCCCAGCTGGACTGTTTGTATTTTTGTGATGGTTCTATGATGGGTGCTGAGGCTGCAAGAGCTTCCCACTGATTTGAACATTCAGTGAAAGCAGGATAGTGTATTCCTGCTGAATTACTGAGGAGTTCAGGTAGGATATCTCTTACGAGATCGTGCGACGCATGGGAGGTGGAAAGGAAGGCTGGTAGAACAATCTGGGAGGCTGTGCGGACACCAAGGCCGCCGAGTCTTACAGGGAGGGTTGCTTGCTCCCACTGAGAGTCGTCCAATGGCAGGTTCAGGACTTTCACCAGCATGGACCTCAGAAGAGTGTCATACACATTTAATTTTGGGCTGTTGTTGGACGGGGAACATCTCAGAAAGTAAGTCAACTTAGGGAGAGACAGGCATCTTGTGAGGAGAAAGAGAGCATTATGGGCATCGATCTTGTCAACCCTGTCCAGCATTCTCCTTAGATTAGTGATTTTTGCATCCAGGACCTCCTCGATTGCCTGCGGGCCAATGGGGGCACTCAGGAGGGTGCAGTCAGATTTCAATTTCAATTTCGAGATTCAATCCCAACAGTTGTCTTGCTCCCTTGTACCTATTTACAGCTCAGTGAACAAAGTCTTCAGGTGAAAGAAATCGTGCTAAACCATTTCTGTCCCACCTGAGGATTGAAACAAGGAACTTAGATTATGAGTCGAAGATGAAGGCTATTGTACTTACTTACGGTAGGTTCATAAACAAACAATTAGTGCATGTCTACCAGGTGACCGGGGAGGATCCGTTTGTTTACTTGGCAGAGGGGGGGGGGGTGGGGAGGAGGGAATTTTCAGGGGGAAAGCGCCAAGCCATTAGGACTATATAGCACTTGGAAGAAGTCAGGATAAGGATTTGGGATTGGACGGGGGAAAGGAATGGTTAGTTGCTTGTTTTCTTGTTTGATCCCACTCTGCTACTAAGGCAAACAGAGTCCATGATGAATAGTTCTGTTGACGCGTCTTTATTCTCCATTAACGGAAAAAAAATTACAATTATGAAATAATTAAATCGTTCCAGTACCACGTTATGTGACGGAGACGTTTTGTACGCTGAAGAAGCTTTCATCTTCTCCTTTCTTCTTAAAAGAGGTAAAAAAATATGGTAAAACCTTAATCTCATCTGAGTACGTTTGCTCTTCGTTTAAAACGTATAAACGTATATTCTTTTCCTAAAGTAATACGTCTTTTTTATCGGAAAACTTACCCTACCTTTTTATAATTCTTCCCACTTTTCCTATTCCCTTCCATTTTTTCCTATTCCCTTCAATTTTTCCTTTTGCTTTTCCTTTCCGTATCCTTTACCCTGTCTATTTCGAAACCTATATTTCTTTCTTGTCTTCTTTTCTCTTCTTTACTTCTATTCCCTTCTCTTTCCGCTTCAACATTCCCTTTCCTTTATCCTCTTCCCCTCATCTCTTCCGTGTCCCCAATCCCTCTCTATTCGTCACTCCTTTTCCCATCTCTTTTTCCCTCCCTGACCAGCTGTCACACAATATCTGATGAAAGGTTCAACATTCATATCACACACGAACCCTCTCAAGGGAGTATGTACCTTTCCTGCGTGTTGCACAGTGGCAAGTTCTCAAACAAAATCACAGATCGCTACAAAAATGGCTCTCAAGAGATAACAAATAGTGTATTATCATTATAAATCTGCAAATACTCTCATTGATGTAAGATACATTTCTGCAGCATTCTTTTCAGTGCTCAGACGCGTATTATTTTAGTTAAAAAACAAGTTTATAATACGTTAATACGTTATTAAAATAATACTTTCTCTGGGCCAAGTGAGAGACAAATATGTGGGCTGGATATTTGTAGTGAATGAGGAAGGGGGCAGGTAGGTTTGGAAAAGGAATAATTGAAAGAGAAAAGATGGAAGTGAAAGTGAAATGTGGAAGATACGAGTGGAACGGTGGATTGTGGACTACCTAGAAAGTGACAAAAGACGTTGGTGTGGAATTAGCAGAATTAAATGTAAAAGGTGGATAGGTTGAAAGTTACCAGTATTCAAAAAATCTATTCAAATTCAGGCTTGGGGAAATAGGTAATGATTCGTAACTATTGGGTGGAAAGTGTAGTGAAATCGTGTAACGATGCTAGGAAGGCAAAAGTTTCAGGTATGAGATACAAGGAAGAGTGAGAGACGAGACTA